CCGTCTTCCTTCCTCTCTCTGAAATCAATAAAGATATATTTAAAAAAAAAAAAAAAGATGCATGGAACAGACTGAGGGATCTCATTGGGAAGGTAGAGGTGGGGGAGTGGGTGGGGAGATTAATCAAAGGACTTATATGCATAAGTGCATAACACATGAACACAGACAAAAGTGTGGGGAAGGCCTAGAAGTGGGGTGAATGTGGGGTGAAGGGAATTAATGGGGGCAAAAGGGACATCTGTGATATTTTTAACAATAAAGATAAATTTTACAAAAATTAATAAAACCATATCAATAAAAAAAGAAAGGAAAAGGGGCTCAGGGCCTGCAACTGAGAGTGCTGGAGAACCCGGGGGACTCCTCTGAGCACCACAGGCCTGCGGAGAGGCTGGAGGAAGAAGCGGGGTGAACAGTGACCAGGCAGCTCCAGCACCCATACCAGAAAATACTAGGCCATCCTTGCCCAAGACCATGCCCGAGACCAGTCCGCCAGTACCTACTAAACTTTCATCAACTCTGCTCACTTCTCTCCACCATCTGCATCAGAGCCACCCTCGTATCATGCTCAGGTGACCGCAGTGGCTCTTTCCCCTCAGTATACTCCCACACTCCCTCCCTTAAGCCTTTCAAGGGCTTCCCAAGGCCCTTAGGATGAAGAGCTACACCAGCCCTGTGGCCATAGGGCCTTCCCACAGCCTGGGCCCTGTGTCCTTCCCCAGCACATATGTCTGATGCCCTCCTCTGCCCCATCCAGTGTCAGCCCCTTTCAGTTCCTTCAGTGAGGCCACCCCACAGCCTATGCACAGGCTGTGCCCTTCGCAGAGAGGCTGTTCTCACACCAAAGAGCCCTCCATAGCATCCGATCGGCATTTCCTCAGGGAAGACTGCCCTGAGCTGACTGGGTCTGACCTACCCATGATGCCCTCTCCAGACAACATGAACAGCATTCATCACCATGGCCATTTGACATTTACATGTAATTACTGGATTCACAGCTGCTCCCACTATACTGTACAGTCAGGAAGGAAGGGATAGTGCCAGAATTTGACAAGCTCTGAACCCCCAACTCCTAGCACAATGCCTGACACATGGTGCTCAATACATATTTTGAGGAAAGAAGCACAGTACACAGGGAAATAGAGATGTGCATCAGTTAGAGTCCTTATCTATTATAAGGCTCGTTTTACAGAACTGGCTCATACAATTGTAGGAGCTGGCAAGTCTGAAATCTGTAGAGTAGGCCAGCAGGCTGGAAACTCAGATGGTATTTCTAGGACAGTGTTGAGAAAGAATTCCTTCTTCCCTGGAAAACCTCTGCATTTAAGGCCTTCAACTGATTGAAGCCCACCCATGTGATTGAGAGTCATCTCCTTTAAAGCCAAATGATTGTCCACATCCACAAAATACCTCACACAAACTAGGCTATGGGCACCATAGCCTAGCCAAACATACACATAAAATTGAACCAACACAGATGGTAAAGATGGCATCAACCCAAGGAGAGGCCGCCAGTGGGGCAAGACTGGATGGAGCAAGAAGACTGAGAAGGCTAAATGGCAAGCCCGTTTTCCCCCGCTGGAGGAAAGCCCAGCAGAGATGAGATGTTCTATAAAGAGCAGAGGGTGCAGAGCAGAGATCTGCTCCACTGAAGAGATCTAGGCACTGGCTCCCAGGGCCAGAGTGACTCAGCCAGGATTACAGTCCAGGGCATCAGAGGAGGGTGGGAGCAAGCCCCCTCCCCCTCATTGTGAGGTCCGGGTAGAATGCTCCTCAGACTGACCCCAGCTCTGGCTGATGTTCAACCTTTTCTCAACCCCACCCTCCTACCAGGAGTGTGCCCTCTGGCTTATACCTGGACTTTACAATCCTCTTCTGTCTGAGAGCAGATACCCACAGAGCCAGTGGAGATCATGAATACACAGCCTCACTTGACTTCCAAGGTCAGGCCCACAAAGTTCTCTGTGTAGGTAGCACTTAAAAATGGAAGTGCAATCAGGACTCAGAGATCTGAGTTCTTAGAACTTAACGAGGAATGGGGTCAAATTCTTGAACGACTAGAGTCAGGAAAAACCAAGGAGCCAGAAAATAGAGATATGGGCTCAGAGAAAGCACTGTTGGGGGATTTGGAAGGGGGGAACTCGAGTCCCCAGAAATGGAAACTCCAAGTTATAGGGAGCCAGGTGTTTGGACAAGGAAGCCCCCGGTCTGGCAGTCAGAGAAAGACTCTGAACACTGGGGTCAAAAGAAAGGATTGCCCAGGTGTCCAGGTGTCCAAGATAGAATGTCCCCAGGAGAAGGCTGACAGGCTATACCTGAGTGTTGCCCAAGATCAGAAGGAAAGGGAAGCCTAGCCAGAAAGGATGGTGATGAGTTTTCATTCAACAGATATTCACTGATGACCTACCTACACTGCGCTAGGCCCTTTGCTGAATTCTGGGAGTCCCACAATCCCTGCTCTCAACATACAGAGAGTACGGAGAGTAAAACAGCCTGAAAGAGCTTACCAGACAGCCAGCCAGGTAACCACTAGGACAGAGAACACATCTGCAGGAGAATCACTGCCCTCTAGGCTTGCCATGGGTGAGAGGAAGCTTCACAGGGGGGGCACCTAGAGAGTAAAGTTGTCTGGACAGCCTCTGACCTCACAATACCCCCTGGACCAGCCTTGCAACTTGCAAACTGTGGCGCCCTCCTCCAGCCCGGGCAAGGCCCGGGGCCCTGGGCAGCCTCCAGGTGCAGTGCCCTCCAGTGGGCCGCACTTTTCCCCCTGCCCTGGGGCATGTCTCTACTCACCAATTATGAGGGGCTTCGGCATCAGATCGAGAGGCTAGTGCGGGAAAATGAGGAACTGAAGAAGCTGGTGCGGCTCATTCGGGAGAATCATGAGCTCAAGTCAGCGATCAAGACACAGGCGGGTGGCCTGGGCATCAGCGGGCTCACCAGCGGGCTTGGTGAGGCAGTAGCCGGCCCTTCTCAACGCCAGGGTAACTATAAGAGGCCTGAATTCAAGGAGAGTGGGAAGGGAAGGGTGAGGCTGCACCAAAGAGGAGACTGTGTGTGGTGGGGTCTGGGAGTCATGGGGAGGACATAGATAGTAGCATGACAGTGGCCTATGAGGGGATGGGAGGGTGAGGACTCAGGACCATTAGGATAAAAAGGCAACTAGGCACCAGTCCCATCCACCTGTTGGTAGGAGCCCCAGCCCACACCCCTCCCCACAGCTGAACTTCCCAGCAGCTCCATAGACAGAATTTCCCAGCTCTAGAATCCAAATGTGCTGGCCTACTGGGTCTGGCACGTCCCTCACCCCAGCCTCCTACCCCTCTCCCCCATCCCTCACCCTCAGCGCCCTGTCCCTCTCCCCTATTACTCTACACTCAGAGATGGTCAGTAGGCAACTGACAAACCAAGTCTAGAAAACAAGAACAGAAACTAGCACTGAAGCTGGAGGTTTGGGATTTAGTGTGTGACAGAAACCTGGGGCTGGAGATTTACAGAGTTGGGTGAGACAAGAATGGGCAAAGAAGTTACAGGTGTTTGCAGAAGAGCAGTTGAAGTAATGACCTGTAGAGTTAGACCCAGAGCTTAGGGACTGAGCCAGGAGGGCACTCAGAGTCCAGGAGGCCAAAGAGGCTGCAGAGCAGAATGTGGTGACAGGAACAAGGCAGGTGCCAGAAGAATGGAAAACTGTAGGCAGAAAGTGGTTGGCATTGAAGACACTAGAGGGAGAATTTCTAGGGGTGGCAAAATCCCAGGGTGTGGCAACAGGAGTCAGTGGCTGTCACAGTGTGTTGGTGATGGTTATATAGGGCTAGGGGGTGATGAAATGCCAGTGGTTGTTACATCCACACCCCTCCGCCTCCCTTACAACATCTTTCTTGCCCTGTTACTCTGCCTGCTGGGACCCACTCTGTTCACACTCAAGTGTGAAACCATCTCCTTTCCTGAGAGGGCTCTGCTCTTTCAGTCTCTGCCACTTAAGCCTCCTCTATAGCTTGGCAGTGGACCCTGACACTCTGCTGTTCCAGAAAGGTCACAGGTGGCATTGAACCTCTGCATGGCATTTGGAACTGAAAACCCTTCTCTGAGTTCCAAGATCACCTTTGACCCCCCTGGCTCAACTTAATCACTGCTGCTTCCAGGACTCTCAGGCCCTGCCCTGCACCCCCAGCAAGCCTGCCCACTGTGGGCTTCAGCCCTCCACTAGAAGTGGAGATCCCCTCAGAAGCTCTTGCAGGCCCAATGAGTCCCTGGAACTCAGCTCACTCCAAACTATTTGGACACATTTCTGATTAAGCACTTGTCTTTTCCACCAGGATGCTAAAGCCCTCAGGTCTATGCTCCTTCCCCACTGCTCCACTTCCAGCTCAATGCCTTCTTCTCTTTATTCTGGAAAGCTGTCTCCCCCGCTTACCTACCCACTGGGTTTCCTACCATCCAACTTGGCTGTGGCATGGGACCAGTCTAACAGTCCCCCTTACTGATCACAAGCACACAGGCCCCTTTTGTTTGAAAGGTTCAACTGCTAATGACCGAGACAACAGACAGGGCAACAGAACTAATACGCACATGGAGGTACGGCACTTAAGCAATCTCACAGTTTAAGAAACTAGACTCTGGTTTCCTACTCCCAGGCTAACCAAGCAAGCCTTCTCCTCTTAGGTCTGATTCTTAATAAAATTCTTGGACCACTTCTGGTTTTCCAATTCCTGAAGGGTCAAGCTTATGGGGTTAGGAAAGGCTTTCTGGAGGAGGTGAGCCCAGCTGGTGGTGAAGGGGGTAAGGGGCATTCCAGGAGAAGGAGCAGCTTGTGAAAGGCCGGGACTTGGGGATGCAGAAATGAGAAACCGATCAGTGATCTATCAGGTTAATAGATCAGGCTCTGTGGGGGTGTAGGTTGTATATGGAGCGTGTGAGAGGGTATGGGTGTAGGTATTGAGTGGGGGGGTATGAGCATGTGTGATATGAGTCACCTATATGTTGCCTCAGCCATTAGCACAGTTGTGTGAGCATGTGAATTTGCGCAAGTATGTGTGGTTCATGAATGTGTAGTGTATGGTGTGATGTGTATGTGTATTGTGTGGTGTGCGTGGAGTATGTGGTGTAGGTATGTGACGGGTGTGTGATGTGTGTGCATATGAAAATGTGTGTGAGTATGTGAGTGGTACGTGTGGTCTGAGTGTGCTGTGTGAGTGTGGGAAATGTGCGGTGTGAGTACGTGAAAATGCACCGTGTGTGGTGTATGTGACTGTTTTGTGAGTTGCTGTGTGAATGTGTGGTTTTGTGTGTGATATGTATGAATGTGTGAGTGTGTTTATGCTGTGTGTGCTAGTGTGTGTGATGTATGGGGGAGGGGTGTGGTCATCCAGGTGGGACAGGATGGCATGAACTAGCAGTGAAGAAAAATTTACTGAAGCCCTCGCTGGTTTTGCTCCACGGTTGGAGCATCGGCCCTCGGACTGAGGGGTCCCTGGTTTGATTCTGGCCAAGGGTATGTACCTGGGTTGCAGGCTTGATCCCTGGCCCTGGTTGGGGCTTGTGCTGGAGGCATCTGATCCATGTGTCTCTCTTACATTGATGTTTCTCTCTCTCTCTCCCTTCTACTCTCTCTGAAAAGCAATGGAAAAAATATCCTCAGATGAGGACTTAAAAAAGAAAAATTGATTCAAGTAATTTAGTAAGAAAACTAGCTGCTTGGATGTGAGGAACGAAAGAGTGGGAGTCCAGAATGCGTCTGCTGCTCCGGCCGGGGTGGCTGGGTGGCTGATGGGGCCATTTCCTGAGTCTGCAGAACTTGGTCTGCAGTGGCCTCAGAGGAGCTTTCCCTGGCCCCTTCTTCACCCTGCCTATCCCCCTTGCTCTTTTCCTTGTGACTGGCTTTCCTGGTGGGTTTAGGCTCTTACTCTCTACTTGCTCTAGTGAGCTTGAGCTTCAGTTCTTCTTTCTGGGCCCACCCTTCGCCTGCGTTGCACTGGTGCACAGCTGCCCCTCCCGGGCCCTGCCCTGGAGGAGCAAGGGAGGAAACGCGGCTCCTGCAGTGCGCCAGGCCCTCCCGCCCAGATGGGAAGAAGGGGTGCGAGGGGAGGGTCGGTGGGGGCAGCAGTTCCCAAGCACCACATTGTGGCACAGAACTGCAGGGAGTACAGAATCTGACCTTTCAAAGCTGACCTTTCAGGCTGTTAGAAAGGTTTGTCAGGTAGGAAGGCAGAACATAATTTAACACTTTGTTAGCTAATTGGTAACATTGAACTGTTTGGACCTGTAGTATGTGGGCTCTGTGCTCTTGCCCAGGGTCAGCCTGGGAGGAAGGAAAGGAGTTGTACGTTGGACAAACTGACTTTAAGACACTCACAAGACATCCACGCGGAGCCTCGAGGAGGCTGCCAGTCAGGGAAGGGCAGGGGGCTGGAGGATGCCAGGTGGGAAGCCCAGGGCTCCAGACCATGGCTTCCACTTTCTCTGTAAAAATGTCTTTTTCTGAGAGCAAGGTGGGGGCAGGAAGACGGGGAAGGTCTGGGCAGAGTGGAAGTGGCAGAAGGCATGAGCCGGGGCCCGCGCCGCGGCCTCCGTGGACTGTAAGGCGGCAGCGCCCACCTTCCCCAGCAGCGCCTGGCGGCCGCAGGCTGGCAGCCCGAGCTT